CGACAAGGTTTTGTTCTTTCACCATATTCACTCAATCTGTATGTTGAGCAAATAATATGAGAAGCTGGGTTTTATGAAGAAAAATGTGGCATCAGGATTGGAGGAAGACTCATTAACAACCTGTGATATGCAGATGATACAACCTTGCTTGTGTGAAGTGAAGAGGACTTAAAACATTTATTGATGAAGATCAAAGAGCACAGCCTTCAGTATGGATTACATCTCAATGTCAAGAAAACAAAAATCCTCACCTCTGGACCAATAAAGAACATTCTCATCAATAGAGAAAAGATTTAAGTTGTCAAAGACTTCATTCTTCTTGGATCAACTATCAACACTCACAGAAGCAGCAGTCAAGAAATCAGACGACATATTGCATTAGGCAAATCTGCTGCACAAGACCTTTTTAAAGTGTTGAAGAGCAAAGATGTCAGCTTGAGGACTAAGATGCGCCTGACCCAAGCCATGGTATTTTCAGTAACTTCATATGCATGGGAAAGCTGGACAGTGTATGAGGAAGACCATAGATGAATTGACGCCTTTGAGTTACAGTGTTGGAGGAGAATACTAAAAGTGCCATGGGCTGCCAAAACAACCAATAGATCTATTTTGGAAGAAGTGCAGCCAGAGTGCTCGTTAGAGGGCAAGATGGCCAAGTTTTGTCTTTCATACTTTGGGCATATTGTCAGGAGGAAACAGGTGCTGGAGAAGGATATCACGTTTGGTAGGGTGTAGGGTCAGAGAAAAAAAAAAGGAAGACTCCCAATGAGATGGATTGGCCAAGTGACAGCATCGATGGACTCAAGTGTGGCAACAGTAGTGAGATTGGCCCAGGATCGGACATTGTTTCGTTCTGCTGTGCATAAGGTCGCTATGAGTCAGTGCCGACTCATGGCACCTAACCACAACAACAACAGACCCCACTACACCACATGGCTGTGTTTCTAACTTGGAAGCTATGTGTACCTTGGAAATACCAATGGAGTTTGAAGTCATGCAAACCTGGCTGCAGAATGTGGCTGTGCCTTTTCTTAGTTGCATGAACTTAATTGCTCTGAACCTTCCTTTCCTAATGTCTAATCTGGTTTACATTACTTATATTGATTGCTATTAAAAAGATTAAATGACAATAACATGTAATATACTTAGTTAGGTCTTAGTAACTTCTTCCTGCCTTCTTCCCCCACATGCACCCTTAGGCTCTTTGGAATGTTGGATTAAGGAAGTAAACATGATTTAATACTGTGCATTTTGGGTTTCCTAATTTAGGCATGCTATTCTGTTCTGTTTTCACAGAGATTTGTGTGGAGAGAAGCAAACCATAGGAGCATTACTCACTAGATATTCTCGCTCTTCAATGCAAAATGGTGTTAAAGTTTATAATTCCAGAAGACCCATTTCTTAAAGGACAACCATCTTTTTCTGTGGGACTAACGTTGATTTATAAAGTTTCTGGTTATAAGAAAAAGATCCTTTGTTTAATTGTATGCCTAACCTTTTCTTTTCTTTTTTTTTTTCTCAATTCTTAACTTAAAAATCTAGTTCTTTAAGGCATTTTTTTGCCCTCAGTATTTTGAAATTACTATTGGTATTTGTAAATACAAGAGGTTATTTCTGTAATCTTCCCAATCACATTTAGGCTAAGATAAGGTGTCACAAACATGAAAGTGTTATTTCCTGTATTTACTGTGTGTGAGGTCTAGAGAGTTTTGTTTATAGGAAGTCTGGTTTTGCTTTTTATATTTAAATTTTCATTCCTTTCATTAATAAATATTCTAATTGATATATCTAAACAGTTTTTCAGAGAAAATGAAATTTTGTAGTTGCATAGAAAAGATTTATTCACTTCACATAATTTCCTCACTACATGTTTTCCCCTTCACTTTAAACACCTCACCAAAACAGGAAGTCACTAGAAGCTATCTGTTATCTAAATGAGTTGCTTGCATTGATGGAATTGGCTTGATAATTCCTCCTCTGTTGGCTTGCTTGGCTGGTGTAAACACGCACTTAAAGACAATATGGGTTTGAGGCTTAGTTAGCAAGGGCTGCTGTCGGAGAAGTAGCACAAGTGGATGGGTTTAACAAACACGCTTATTGTCTCACAGTTTAGGAGTCTACAAGGCCAAGTTCAGAGCTCTAGCTCTGATGAAAGGGCCTTGTCTCCTTTCAGCATCTGCAGGCTCAGCATTCTTTGGCCATCTCCATGTGTATTGGCATCCATCTTTCCCTGCATATAGGAGCCTCAAAGTGCAGGGAGCCCCGGTTTAGAGGACAAACTCCACTCCTGTCTCTTCTTTCTGGGTGATATAGTGGGTCCTTCTGAGATCTGCTCACTTCTCTCTCCTTTTATCTCTTGTAAGATAACATGCATTTCCATCATATCCCTGGCAAGCTCCTTGCTATCAGATCAGGGTTATAACGGGATTAAGGATAGTATGTTGTTGTTGTTGTTAAGTGCTGTTGAGTC